TGAGGTTTTTTGTCTGTTCAGTTCCTGTTTGGGTCCCCCTTGACTTTGACCTCCCATCAGCTACTGATCTTCAGTCAACATGCAACAGAACGGTGGGAAACCTGCTGAGATTCTTTTTTGCAGCTTGACTTTTCTTTCTTTGTAAATGCATGTTTAACATGCAGGAAAGGATAACCATGGAAAAAAATCATTTAGTGGTGATAATAAAACAAACTGTACATAAAACTATGAAACATTTCTTGCTCTTTCTCTCCAGGTGTGTGGCATCAGTCTCCCTCTTCCTCCTAAGAAGCTAATTGGAAACATGGACAGGGAGTTCATAGCAGAGAGGCAGAGAGGACTGCAGACCTATCTGGACTCCATTACCCAGCATCCCCTGCTATCTAGTTCCCTGCATGTCAAGAAGTTCCTGGACCCCAACAATTATTCTGCCAACTACACGGGTTTGTTCCCTCATCTTCACTGACAACTCCTGTTTACCTTTTTAATTACTTTGTAGTTTTATTCAGAGCATCAAGTACTATACAGTTGTTAGGTACTTTATACTACAGCTGTACAGCACAAACCACACCCAGGAAAACATTTAATTATATCAGATAACCCAAAATAATACCACTTCAACAGTGAACAAAGATTTCACTTAAAACAAAAATAGGCTTCGTGCAGTAGCTTGCTGTAGTAATATCAAATTGCTTTCCTTGTTTAAAAGATTACATGATGTGGAGACAGGGAAGGTGGTCAGAGTTTGCATGGATATACAGTAAATGCCCAGTCAACCTGGCTGTCAATAGGCAAAGACAGTGTGACTTCTCAGTGAGGAAGAGCACTATTATCTGTTTGCTCTAAAATGAAATGTATTAATTTCTTGTTTGTTTTTTTTTTTTTGCTGGGGGGGTGTCTCAGAGATCGCCCTGCAGCAGGTCTCCATGTTCTTCAGGTCGGATCCAAAGTGGGAGGTTGTGGAGCCCCTCAGAGACATTGGTAAGACTCAGGGTGGACCTGAATTTGACTGAAAACTAATATTTTAATGTGTGTTCACTAAAGTGAATAATGCTGACTTTGGCATTGATAGCCAACATTATTTTTTCCAGGTCAGTCTGAGTAAAACCTAGTATTTACAGAGTATTCACATGTCAGCATAAATTGGGTATTGATTTATAATCAGATGATCTGAGTGCATGTAAACACAATGATTAGTTTTGACTTTCCTTGTAAGACAAACTTGAAACCTGCAGCTATTCTGTCACTTTCATCCAGCTGTTTCCATCTTTTATCACTGAACCAACAGGCTTATCTGCTTGAAAAAAGAAAAAATATTTGAGCAAAAAACCCTTAAAGAACTCAAAGATAAGGTTAACAGTTAATTTTTAAAGTGGGCCTCATTTAAATAAGTGTTGCACACTCTAATGTTTTTACTGGCAGAAGTGACACGCTCTTTGTGTTGCAGGCTGGAGAATCAGGAAGAAATATTTTTTAATCAAAAACAAAGAGCAACCCAAAGAGAGGTATCTGCTGAGCTGGGTGAGCACAATACAAAGGCAATACATGTTCTACTTATTGACTTCAGGCAATGCAAGATTAAATTGTCTGTGAGGAGCAAAAGTGTGCAACATTTTTTTTGAAGTTTCAAACATGCATGCAGATCATTAGTGATTGTTATAGATTATAAAAACATGCTTTCATGTACTACATACATACATATATAATCCTCTGTGTTTGTTGTAGGTGGATCTGGGTCCTGATAAGTTCCTGTCAGACAAAGACCTGCAGTCAGCTATGAAGCTGCTGACTGGCCTCTCTGTACGTCCTCACCGTGCACACTGTGAATGTTTGTCTATCATCGCACAAATCACAGAAACTATGTTTTTGGTCCAAACTAAACTAAAAGAGTGGCAAAAAAGAAATGTATCTCCTTGTACTGTAAATGTCTGTGTAGTCAGTCTGTGAACTGTATAAAGCAAAAAAAAAAAGCTACATCAGCTAAAAACATTTTGTTCATTCGGTTGGCTACCTAATTCTGTCATGGCGCAAATAAAAGTCCGCCAAACTCCTGCTAAAGCTAACTTGCATAGCAGTTAGCTGCCGTCTCAGCTTTTGATTCTAATTCATGTGGTTTGATGTGGGTCTGACACAGTTCAGTCCGTATGTTAGGTAATTATATTAATCTCAATATGAGTTATTGATAGTAACAGACCAACACCTGGCAAAAAGTTGCATTTAACTCCAGTTGACTGTAATCAAACTTCTCCTCCTCCTCTCCAGACTTCGTATCTTTGTCCGTTACTGTTCTTCAGCACCAGTGAGTCCTCAGCTCTGCTCATCCGGCCGTTCAGTGAGAGAGGATCTTTGAGAGACCACATCTGTAAGGTAGACTGTGTGTGTGTGTGTGTGTGTGTGTGCGTGTCCAGTCGTGCTCAGGTGACAAAGCAAACCTGAATAAATGAGTGGTCTCCTCCAGGATGACAGTGCCCCCATCTACAGGGCACTAAGGGTCACTGAATGGTTTGAGGATAAACATGATGAGATTCAGATGCTGTGGCCTTCCCAGTCACCAGGTCTCAACCCAGTTGGAACAGCTATGGGAGATGTTGATGCAACATGTTAGTCAGCGTTTCCACCACCTTCATCAAAACACCACAAGAGGGAATATCTGTTGAAAGAACGGTGTTCATCCCTCTGGTAGAGTTCAATGCCAAGGTGCATTGAAACTGTTTTGGTGACATGTAGTGACATGTTCTCTCTTCTATTTGTGAGATATTGGAGAGATTTGAGATTTTTAAGTTTTTCTTTTTAATCCTGCTATAATGGAGGTGCGTTTGAGTGGAATATAATTTGTGTTGCTCACAGCAGTGAAACAGAAACTGGATCTTTGTAAGTGCAGTTGTTCCAGTGAAAACTGTGACTCTCTCTCCCACATCCCCACCCTCTCTCCAGGTGAAGCCCACAGAGAATTACCTGAAGAAGTACTGTAACCCGAAGAAGAGTCAGGGCCTTGAACTGTCACAGATTAAACTGTACGGCCGTCAGATCCTGGAGGTATATAAATATATATACAGACACACAAAAACAAGTAGGCAAAACACGTGTTACTAAAGCAGTCTGTGTGTATGTGTGCAGGGCCTGAAACTCCTCCATGATGGTGGTGTGTTTTACGGTCACCTCCACGCGTCAAACATCATTGTGGATGATGGCGTGTGCCGACTTGTGGATGTGGAGAACGCCATGCTGGGAGTTCCCTCTGCGCTGCGACCGTCCTTCACCCAGTTCAGGAAGATCAATGTACGTAAACACTGATCAGGCTTGGATCAGACGAGCCTGGGTTAGTTTAGATATTTTATTTTTGTTAAAAAAGCTTGAACTTAAAGTAATTTCGCTCCAGATTACACACACAACAATGATTGACAGATGTGGAATTTTTCTTACTTGTTTTCATTTATACTGTTTCATTTTATAACAGTTTTTAAAATTTGTATGTGTAAAGCTTAAATGACAAAACTGCAAAAATTAATTTAATTACCACATGGTACAGTGTAACATACATTACGAACATACATTACATTATCAACACACTAAATACTTTGGCCAAATAAGTTCATGTTTCAAATTGTGCATGTGCCAATTGATCCAGAACTATTAAAGACACTTTGTTCTTTGAAGGTTTATGAGGAAAAAAAATGTGTTTGTGTTTCTGTAGACGACACAGAGCATTGACGTTTTCTGCTTTGGTCATTTACTGTATGAGATGACGTATGGCCGGCCGCCAGACAGCATCCCTGTGGATCAGTACCCCACTGTGCCCTACACAGCTGTGGGTATGAATACACACACACACACACAGCCTGTCATGTGTTGTCGTTGTACCTGCTGGTAATTTGACATGGGCATCTGAAACATCAAGTTTAGTGAGCAATCCCAAAGTGTCTGTACAGTATTATTCTCAGAGTGCTCTGCTGATGCTGTGTGTGTGTGTGTGTGTGTGTAGTGTCAGTGCTGCAGTCCATTCTATCCACAGAAGCCTGTAAAAGTGGGATGCCAAAAGTGTCGGAGCTCATCCAGACGTCGTGAGTTTCACCAGTTTTTAGCCTCCGTCCTGTTTTAAATGATTCACATGCAGTAAGTGACACTTGTCAGTGTACTCAGTAAGACCATGTTCATGCCAAGCCAGCTAAATGTGACAATGTACTTTGCACAAAATCTCCAATTATACTATCCATATTTTCATTGCTGCTTTGGTGTATGTGACTAAATGTCTTTAGCTGTATAAATAATATCACTAGTGTCAATTAGTATCATCACTAGTCAGTTTGTATTTTGCAGGCTGTTCAGTGACGTCCAGCTCCAGCATTCAGAAAAACTCCAACTCAAGGTAGGAGACTTAGTTTGATACTACTCCTCTGTGAGTTTGTCAGTGTATGCACAGGATTTGCTTTAGAATATTGATTCTGTTATTGATGAAAATCTTTCCTCCCCTGCTCTAGATCCCCAGCAGGCTAAAGGAAGCACTTAAGGTGGCAAAGGAGAGTCTAGAGAAGAGGCTGCAGGAGGAGCAGAGAGTGGTGCGTCACTACTTTCGTTTACCAATTTGAATTATTTTTGTACTTTCTCTGTTTTATACTGCTAAGACGCTCTGCTGGAGACACTGGAGGAGTCGTACTGTGGATGTAATAC